AGTTACCTTCATTGATGATCAAACAAACTTTGTTGTCGCTGTCCCAATCAAACGCAAATGTGATGTAATGGCCGAGTTCGTAAAATTCCAGAATGGAGTTGAAAACTTGCACGATAAGAAGATCAAGGAGTTGCAAAGTGATAATGGTGATGAGTATGTCAGCAAAGAATTTGCTGAATACTTGAATGAGAAAGGGATCGTCCATCGCCTAACTGTCCCTCACAATCCCCAGCAAAACGGGAAAGCTGAGAGAATGAATTTAACGGTGATGTCAATTGTACGTTCTCTATTGATCCAATCCGGCATGCCTAAAACTTTTTGGGCGAAAGCTCTTAATACAGCAACTTTCTTGCGAAACCTCAGCCCATCATCCGCTATCGAATACCAAATACCTTCAGAACTATGGTACAAAAAGAAGTTAAAAGAGACAGACTATGATAGGTTAAGAGTGTTCGGTTGTCAAGCATAGGCCAGAATAGTATCTCCTGATAAGTTAAGTCCAAGAGCTGAACTGTGCGTGCACTTAGGTTATCCAGACGGTGTCAAAGGGTATCGCCCCTGGAGCATGGAACGGACGTTAGGCGGCGTTAGGGGCGTAGAGCGTTGGCGGGGTTAGTAGGGACGTAAGATTCCAGGAAGACATCTTTCCTTTTAAAAGTACCACTGTATCTGAGAGGGAAACGGAAGACACTACCATCTCTGTTGATCTAAAAGAAGAAGAGGTGGTCCCAAATGGGGAGGCTATCCAGAATGAAGAAATTTTTGACCGTATTCCCAACCCACCGGACAATATTGTTATGGAACCCAATAATGCACCAACACAACCCAGACATTCAGACCGCAGAAAGGCAGTTAAACCACCCTGTAACCAACCCTTCTGCAAGACAACAGTGCGTGAAGGTGGTTTTGACGGAGGAAATTTGCATAACAACACAGAGGCCGTAGTCGGACCATCTGATTTCTTCATCAAAGAACCATCAACACCAACTGAGGCGCTCAACGGGCCTTACTCTACAGAGTGGCTGATCGCAATAGCGAATGAAATCAACAACATGAAAATCAACAATGTGTGGGAAGTCATGCCGAAACCATCTGGATAGAAGATAATCGGAACAAAGTGGGTCTACAAAGTGAAGAAAAACGAGTTCGGTGACGTAGATACTTTCAAAGCTCGTCTAGTAGCCCAGGGTTTCAAGAACTCATTGAAACTCGACTGGTTCGACACTTTCAGTCCTGTGATCTGGCGAGAAACTTTTCGCATAATCCTAGCATTAAGTGTTCTACACAATTGGACTGTCCACCATTTAGATGTTACTAGTGCTTACTTAAATAGTGAGATTAGCAAAGAGGTGTTTGTTGAACAGCCACATTTATTTGAAGAGCCAGGTAAACAGAGAGCTAACTTTGTAAACTTCTTAAAAGTATCTATGGGCTACCAAATTCTGGCAAAGATTGGTACAATTGGTTGACTGAAGTATTGTTAACATTAGGTCTGAAACAGTGTCTAAGTGACCCTTGCGTTTTTGTAAAGCCTGGTCTAAAAATAGGAATCCATGTTGACGATGTTACAGTCACAGGAACAACAAACCTTATCAAGGAATTAAAATCTAATTTGGCATCGAGAATGCGAAACTTGCACAAGGAGCTGGTCGATGAAAATATAAAAATTGAAATGTATAGTCATAATCTTGGGGCAATTGACCTTGCTAAGAACGAGGGGTTCCGAGCTGAGAGCAAGCACATTGGAGTGGAACACCATTTCATCAAAGCGATAGTGGCTGAGAAGAGAGTTGCATTGGACCACATTAGTACAGATGAGATGGTGGGGGATATTTTAACCAAGGCGTTGCCAGAACCCAAACACGCCAAGTTTTAGCATGAGTTGCTTGTGGAAGAATTTGAACAAAAGGAATAAAGCTGAAAAGCTACAGATAATATTGTATGTATTTAATTTTTTTTTTTTATTAAGTCCATGTATTTTTTACTTTGTAATTTTTTGGGAGGCATGTTGGATTTAGTAAAACTTACAAAGAAAACTGAGAAAAACAAACTAGAAGGGACAACCATGTGTTCGCAAGGAGGCGCTCTGAAATGATTCTCTAGCTGAAAAATACCTTACGAGAGTGCGATAGATCGATAAATAAGAAAAGGAGAGAGAGACAACAATAAAATGCTGAGGCTGCGTTTTCGGGGCAGAAAATCATCTTAGAGCGTTTCATCTTCTGAGTGAGCGGATTGAGACTCCAATCATGCCTACTTGCTTTCTTTTCAGTTCAGTTGCTGTTGTTATGTGATTGCAATATAACGTATGTTTACACCTAAATAAAAATCCGACTTGCCCGAATCGCTTGTTATCATTACTTGGTCATAAATTCCTAAAACCTGACAAAATGAGGTCATCTTATTCAGATTTAGCGGCTCAAAATACACAAAAAGCTGCCAATCAAAGACCGCAAAAAATTTCAGTTCATTTAAATTTGCTACGAAAACGGCTGACAGTCGCCTTTTTTAGCCGAGAAAATCGGCTTTTCCAGAAAATTAAAATGTTATAAGAAAAAACGGTCTGGTCATATTCGGTTCTAGCAGCTCAAGATGCACAGAAATTGGAACACCGAGGAGACCAATTTTATTTGTGCACTTTAAACAGGAAAATTTCCGGAAAAACACCGAAAGCGGAAAGTCCATTTTCCAATGGACATAAGGTTACATTTCTTATTGTTGTCGCCAGGCGCCGTAGAGTGAAGTGAAAACTTCAAAAATACCTAAAAGTATCCGTTTCTTTCTTTCCATACTAGCTTCTTACGTACTTTCGGACCTCCACTGTCAGTAAAGGGTGTCTAAAAAATAATTCGCAAAAAAATTGGCCGAATTTAGATATATTTGACGATGCGATTGCGGGCATCGCACAACGAGGAATGTAAGACATATGAACCAAGTAGATTTTTTTATTCCTTACGGAGGGTATGAACTTACTTTGCACAAATTCTAGGACCTCCGCTGCCACTACAAGGTGTTCAAAAAAATTCTCCATAAACGGTCAAGTTGAGATATTTCGGACGTTTTCGCTGCTATTTCCAGTATCGCAGGACAAAGAATACAAGATGTAGGAACCAAGTAAAATTTTTAATTCCATACAAACGGTATGAACTTACTTTCTACAAATTTTCGGACCTTCATTGTCATTACAGGGTGTACGATAGATTTTCGAACGCGAAAAAACGGTAAAAATTGAGCTATTTTTGACGGATTTTCCACCATTGTGGGCATAGCTTGGCAAAAAATAAAAGACCTAGAAGTTTTCTGAAATTTGCCCTTTCATACTGATGGTATAGGCTTGCTTTCCACCAATTTTCGGATTTTTACTACCATTATAGGCTGCTCAAAAAGTTCATTATACGTTAAAAAACGGGGAAATTTCGATTTTCAGAGCTGCCAAGCGAAGAGTTTGGGCAGTACCACGCGAAGTGAGAGTGACCTAGGTGAAAAACAAAAAATTTCCCTTAATCTGCAAGGTATGTGCTGATATGCATCAATTTTTGGACATCTAGCATCAAATCCGTGTTGCGGGCAAAAATATCAAAAATATACAGCGAAAATGCCAGAAAAACTGGAAAAATCTCGATGTTTCAGCTCTTGCGCCCCGGGTTACAAATTTTTTTTTTCAAAATCCTCTTGGCTACCGTGTTTTTTATCATATAGAACCATTTAAGACCGTGCAATATTTGGTTTTGTCAATTTAAAAAAAAAAGTCCCACCCTAGGGGAGGTAGTAAGGGTATTTGGGGGTAGTGGGGCGGCACCACTTAGGATGATCCGATCGGGCTGAAATTTTTTGTAGGTTCTTTTCCCACCAAATGACAACTTTTAGGAAGGTTAGACATTTAATTTTCGAAAAGTCGAAAAATACGAACCACCCTAACCCTCATACAGTAACAAAGGAATGGCCTTATCCTCTTGCACCGTGTCTGTTTGTGAAGACGGAAAGAAGAATTAAGAGCAAGATGGCGGCACAGATTGAAAGTCTCCCTGATGACTACAATCATAAGTTAAGTGAGGATTCAGACTCTGAAATTCCTGATATTTCTGTGAAGTATTCCCTTAGGTGGCTCTCGAAATACACAGTGAAAAAACTCGATACTTTGTCTAAGGACAAGCACCAAAAAACCTGGTGATCGATTGAAGAAAAAAAGGCAGTCTAAAGACAACTCTCGGATTGTATCAAGGTAGGTGTTAACCCCTGTAAGGCCAGATGCCGACAGTTTTTTGAAAATGAGTCATGCCTCTGAAGAACAAGACATGGACACACATCAATGGCCTTGTAAACTTAAAATTGGCACTTGATTATTTTGCCTTTCCGATACATTGCTTTTCTCCCATACGTTAGTCGATTGAAAAGTGTTCTTGCAACAAGTATACCACTGATTTCGTCTTTTCCCCCATAAAGAGTTGTAACTTTACTCCAACATATACTTACAAGAAGACTGTTGAGAGAATTTAATTGTATTTTCTTCCTATTACGGCAAAAATCAGTCAATAGTGGACAGAAACTGCACTGTCATATCCTCGAAAAAAATTGTATTACGTACATAATACAATTTTTTTAAAATAATCGAACATAATAATCAAATAATCTTATTTTTTGACCGCATAGTAGGGGAGTTTTGAGCGGCTAAAGTCGGATTTTGAACTGCTGGATTCGGGTTTTGACAAACTGTGCGCCGGGTTGGAATGCAACAAATGGCGGGTAGTTAAAGTACTCCGACCCGATACCTGCAAATAAAAAGGACTATTTTCGTACTTTGTTTCATCTTTAAATATTCCAGGCTGGTGAAGCAAATGCCCTGACTTTTCTCGGGTTTTCCCGGCCCTTCCTTTTTCCCCTGACTTTTCCAGATTGGTGGGAACCCAGATAGTTCAACTATTTAACTGGTAGGTCTTATGAACTCCTTTAGTTTCTGTCTGGTTCCTCTTTTGAAACGGAAAATGGGTAGATCACTTTACCTTGGTGCTAAGATGGTTAAGCATATTGTGGAGTAACAGATGCAAAACTTGGTTCTTGGTGAGTGCTCTGGAGATTAAACTTTGATTTAGTATACAATGATTAATTAGGTTTCTTAGATTGTCCTCGAGGTTTAATATTTTCACTGATTTGCCACATGGTTTCTTCACACAGGAAATTGTCAAAATTGTTGAATAAGGCAATAATTTTTTCGTGTTCTTTGAAATTGTAAGTTCTGAAACAAAAAGATTCATTGATTGATTTACATATATTTATGAGGACTCAGTTTTAGGATGGATACATGACTGACAGAAAAGAAAAGAGTTAACATTTCTTTTGACCGACCATGATATTTTAACACGATTTCTCTCAGTGCTTTAACATTATTCAAGAACTTAAGTACCTATCCTAAATAGGGATTAAGGAGAGCATTTACCCTCATGATTACCAGGTCTTGCTGCGGTGAGGCATTCGAAAGCTAATTTAACGCATGAGAAATAGTACTGAGTAAATGCAAAGTTGATAAGAAAAGATAAACTCACGCTTTTTGGAATCTTTTCATGTTTTCAACTATGTTGAACTGCTGCCACCGCTTAGAAAAGTTGATGATACCCTCGCTGAGAAAATCACTGTTGCCAATGTGTACAAAGGTCAGATCTTGAAGTACTAAACCACTGCAACACAAGATAAATAAACAGTACTTATAATTTTGAGTCGTAAATTGAAACTAGCCAGGTGGCTTGGCCCCCTGTACCCCCATCACTTGCTACATGAGTGAAGCAAGCTATTTCCCTCTTAATAACACTTTGATTAAATTAGAGAAAGTTCCAGAAACTACTACCACTCGTTGCCTCTCGCCACTCTTCCTGAGGTCCAATTTTTTTTAGATAGTTCCAGAAAGGATGTGAGGGAAGCGTCAAATTCATTACCAATCACTTAGAGAAAATATAAGAAATTTCCAGAAAAACCATCATTATCGGTCATCATAAGTCACTTTACAGAAGTCCGTTTCCAGAAAGTTCCAGAGAGGACTAATGAGAGTCTTTGTAACTTCCTCGGGTGTCTGATCGGTAGAATCATCAATGGGAAAAAAGTCGAGAGTTCTAAAGAGTTCCAGAAACATTTACTATTCATCGCCATGTAACACTCTCCATTAGCTTAGGAAAATTCTAAAAAGTTTTGGGGAGGATGTAAGGGGAGCCTCCTTATACCCTTCACCAGCTCCTGCCGCTGTGCTTGCAGCATAGAATAAGAAGAAGCTTCGCTATTAGACGAGCCACGGCAATCTTTTCAATAGAACAGTGTTTTCAATAGCTATGTTTATGCGAGCCTCTTAACCTAACTTCAATCGAAACCTGAGTTTGAAACCAAGGTTCAAATCACGGCATAAACGATACGGAACTAACGAAATGTAGGTTTCCGAAATTTGTGTTTGAAACCTTATTTTACACTAAAGACTAGGTTATCGCACTCCGCATAAACGAACCGGAGGTTGAAATTAGTTGAAATTCGACTTCAAATGCGATTTTCAGGTGCGCGATCGGCAATATGGCGGATTTATTATCATAACGTTCGTAAACAACTGGTGCTTATCCCACGATTTAGCTTTAATTTTGCCATTATTTAACATTTTTTACAATCATAATTTTACTATCATTGTTGCTTAAGCACTTTTACGTGATTCCTTCAGTTATATGTGGCTTATTTGTCCTTATTTAGCTAAACGTAGGACGTTATTTTGTAGTGAAGGTGTTTAGTGTCAGATGGAATCCAGGCTTATTACTGCTTTTTCAGATAATTCTTGCAACTCTAATCAACATTTTATGACTACAGAAGCAAAGCAAGCAAAGAGCTTTACAGGCTACAATTGAGTGATAGCCTTACCTACCAGTTCATCATCTGCGGAGAACTTTTTTACTGTATCCACACGATTTGCCTAAGATTTCAAGATAAGGCACCCTGCTTCCCTTTAAGTAGTGCACCGAATTTTTTAATTTCAATCTACCGATTAAATCTAAAATCTGATCCAATCAGAGCTGTGTACCTAGCTCTTGAATTTGTGTGTTATCCATGTATCTATTTCCTGGTTGTCCTACTGGAAGTGTGAGACCAAAATTCTGAGGCCATCATTTATTGAAACTAGTTCAAAGTTATTGCTCCAAAGTATCGTCACTCTCCTTAAAATGAGGCGGGAGGAAGGAGATTTTTTGGTGAGTACTCTGTGATCCAAGATTTGCAATTTGAGATAAGAATACGGTTTTTATTCAGGCGTGTAACAATTTTTGATCGTTGAATCACTTGTCATAATTGAGCCTTGGCGTTAGAGATCCATCAACTTTGGAAAGTGGCTCTGCCTATGCAAAAATATCTTGTGACAGCAGTGAATGTTAGTAAATGCGCTTTACAGATAGACTGAAAGCTCCAGATTCCAATCTACCCGAATAATTAAATTCAAAAGCATTTTTGAATTGAGTTCCTATCGAATCTCAATGGGAGAATAATATACAGTGTAAGCGAAAGAATATCAATGGTAAGGTTGGGTTTGTGTCTTAGGTTAGTGAAATGCAATGGCAGGTTCTGAAATCTTGTTTGTCAGTTGCTCTTTACATGAGTCACCTTTGAAAATCAAGTTTAAGAAAAAAAACACATAGGTGGGCAAACAGTGGTAGGTAGCTTGCCTATTTTCTTCCTGTCTTGCTCATGGACTTGGAGAGCAGTCGGAAAGAGGGGTGAGAAACAGGATTTCAGCGCGTGTCTCTGGGAATGTGGAAACTTAAAATTTGTGAAGCGTCATCAGTTTGTTGAGATTGTCACCGTCCGTTGCCTCAAGAGGATTTAGACGCTTCTGCTTCAGCGATACATTGTTGACCTATCAATATCTGCTTATTTTGATCATATCTTGAAGGAGGAATTCCCATAAGTATATCCCGATTCTTTATTTGTTTCACTACAATAATGGCAGACATACAATCTTTACGACTCCATGGAGTGAAGGTGCGGTGCTTTACTGGATTAGCACTCCTACACTTTCAATGCCTATATCTACCTATTGTAAGATCATTAGAAGCGCAATAAACAATATGATGAATTTCTGCGCCTGCCACAATTATTTTTAACATCACTAAAATTACCTATGGCAACTTTTCTGAACTCAGAATATAAGCTCGAGCATGATTTAAAGGGTTGTTGAGATTACTTAGGTATTCATTCAATTTTTAAATATGAACGTAAAATGATTAAAAATCCACTGTCATTTTTCCAACTGTTGCTCAGAGAGTCAGTAAAGGCTTTTCTAGTGAAGATGAAGCCTCCGCTTATATATTGCGGAAAAATTGTGGAACATACACGGGATAAAAGAGTAATAATAATTTTATTGAATCAATTCATAGTAGCTACGTTTATGCGAGGCTCGAAACCGGGGTTTCACGAAACCCGAGTTTGTAATGCAAGTTTCCTCCGTCGGGTTTTTGCGGGCGCTGTAACCCGACTTTCGCGGGAAATCAAACTTTCCGATTTTGGCGCTGTTTATGCGCATATTTTCGATTGAACTTGAAATTCATGTTGGCGCCATTTTCACAAGCTATACTTCATTTTTCCACTATGAATTGATTCAATAAATTATTAGGTTTTACTCTTTTATCCTGTGTATGTTCAATTTTTCCACAATATATAAGCGGAGGCTTCATTTTCACTGGAAAAGCCTTTACTGACTTTCTGAGCAACAGTTGGAAAAATGACAGTAGATGTTTAATCATTTTACGTTCATCTTTAAAATTGAATTAATACCTAATCTCAACAACCCTCCAAATCATGCTCGAGCTTACATTCTGAGTTCAGAAAAGTTGCCATAGGTAATTTAAGTGCTGTTAAAAATAATTGTGGCAGGCGCAGAAATTCATCATATTGTTTATTGAGCTTCTAATGATCTTACAATAGGTAGATATAGGCATTGAAAGTTTACGAGTGCTAATCCGCAAGCAAAGCACCGCACCTTCACTCCATGCTGTTGTAAAGATTGTATGTCTGCCATTATTGTAGTGAAACAAATAAAGAAT